CCCACCCACCCCAGTGATGACCACACAGTCAGGGTCTGGATGGCGCGCGCGGCCGGCGGCGCAGTGGCGCGGGCAGCCCCGGCCGCTGCCGCCGCGCCTCCCAGCGGCGCCCGGCGGTAGCAGCTGGGAGGCAGCTGGCGTCCACCCAGTTCCCCCCTCCAGGCAGCAGCGCGCATTCGTCCCGAGCTCCTTCACACCTGTACACTTACCCTCTCGCCTGGCGCAGCCCCCGGCCGCCGCCGCGCCGCTCTCCGTCAGGTGACGTGTTTTTACCAATGTCATCGTGCCCCCTGCATAACTCCCGACCTGCTTTTTCCCTCGTGCCTCGCGCAACGCGGCACGCCCGCCCTGATTTTCGCGCGTCGTAGCACCCCTCGCTCGCCAGTGCCGCTGCCCGCACGCGCCGGCCCCTGGCGTGTCCGCGGCCACAGTCGGCGCGGTGCCGGCTGCGTCCGGCCGTTGCGCGGGGTCCAGACGGCTGCCGCAGCTAGGGCCGCAGCTAGAGCTTGCGGCCAAAGTGCCAGGACGGCCGCGTGATAGAGGCAGCCGCAGTTGTACATTTTTCCGCCCGGCCGCCGGTTGGCTCGCAAGCGCCGGCCCGCATTCCATCTGCCGCCCGCGCCCCGCACCGCGCCCAGCGCGGATGGAGTGCAGATGTCAGGTTGTGCGCCTCACGCGCGGGCGCCTGCCAGCTGGCCCTCTTCCCCTCCTTGCCCCTGGCCGGCCCCTCTAGGCTAGTTGCTTGTTGCCCGGCCCCAATCACGGCACTCAAAACTGAAACAAGCCTCTCAGGTTGGGTGCCTAGGGTGGCGGCGCCCCACCTCCTGCCTGCAGCCGAGCGCAAGCTAAAGAGCAGTGGCCGGGCGGCGGCGCTGTTGCAGCAGCCGCGCTCGCACGTCGCGTGCGCGGCGCTCGCCGCCTGCACGGCGGCTGGCCTGCGGCAGCGGGCGTCATCAATCCTCTGCTCTGAGCAGGCATGCAGGATGCGGGGTTGATTGCGGCGCCTGCGGGTGAAGAGTTGCGGCTGAACGCGCGCGCCTGGTAACCACAATCAGCAAGCTGCTGGGTCGTCGACGGGCACGCGTACGTGGGGCGATGGCGCCGCGGCCTCCAGGGGCGTTGGATCAGGATTAGGTCTCAGCGGCAGTGTTTTGCAAGGACACCTCAAGTCATGCTCACATTACATCATATGCTTTGACTCGGGCAAGAAAACACTTTGCAAAAGCAACACCAACGCCATGCAAAAACCCCGGTGGGCCCGAAGTGAAAGTGGCTACCCCAGCCGCTGTCTGCTGGACTGGCTTGCCAGCCGCTGGCGGGGCGAGCCGACGCACTCGCAGCCACAGCCTATCGGACGCATCCGCAGGATCGGCTGCGCTCTCAATCGCCTGCAACTGAGCGTGCCACCGCCCGCGTTTGTCAACAACTGAGGGCGGTTGGCAGTCGCCCCTCACCAAACCCTCATACCCGTGCGTCCTGCTTGAGCGGCGCGGCGAACAGTAGGGGATCTTGAATTGTACAACCTCACCAGCACATCGCTGCCCGCAGCTGCATAGCCAACTCATGCCTGTCCCCCTCCTGCGCCACGCGCTGCAAAGGCCCCTCGCCCCGCACGCTTCCGCTGGTGTGCTCGCGTCGTCGGGACGTCGAGCGCCCCCTATGCATGGCTGGCGTGTCATGCGGAGGCGCCGCCCCTCGCCGCACGGCAGTCTGCCTTGTGGGCCCGCCAGTGGGTGCGCTGGCTGTGGGGCGTGGGGGCACGCGTGCATGCATGGTTGTAGTGGAGTTGAGAGAGGAGGCGAGAGCGGGATTGTGAGAGCGAAGCAGAGGCCGCATTAAAGCAACACGTGTGCGCCACGGCCGCAGGTCCTGGCCTTTGACTGCACCCTTGATGTTCCATGATCCTGAATTGCGAGCCGTGACACGTGCTTTATCACTGCTGTGTCCCATCTTGCATTCATGAACTTCCTCCTGACTCATCGCACACTCCATCCCCCGCTCCCCAGGCTCACCACTCCACAGAGCAGTAGAACACGCCCTCCGCCCTGCAGCCGCTGCAGCGCCTGAGCGTCACCCCGCCGCCACGCCCCTTGCCGCACGCCAAGCAGCGCCGATCATCAGCCAACAGCAGGGGCTCCGGCCCCGGCAGCGGCGGTGGCGCCTCGCGGCGCTGCAGGAAGGCCAGGGCAGCTGCCGCGTCCGCCGCCAGCGCGCCACCTTGGCCCTCGGCTGCACCCAGCCGCAGCAGCGCGGCCTCGGCTGCCATGAGAGCGGACTCCATGCTCCTCTCACGCGCGCAACGCACTGCCTCTTCCGCGAGCTGGCGCTGCAGCTGGTGACTCCCCTCGGCCGCCTCCACATGCGACGCATCGGCAGCCGCAGCCACTGATGACAGCAGCAGCACAGCCATGTTTGCGACGACTGCCATGCGCCCGCCTTCGTGGCCGCCTCCCGGCCCAGCTGCCCGCGCCGCAGCCGCGCAGCGCAGAAGTGCGCCTACAAGGGCGGTCGCGGCCCTGGGACGCGCGGCCAGGTCGGCCGCGGCGCCGCTGGAGCCTTCAAAGGTGCGCAGGGCGCCTGACACCGCGTGCATTGCAGCTTCCGGGCAGCTGCCTCCGGCCCAAACCACCAGCGCCTCCCATGCTTTGGCCTTGATTGCTGACAGGCCCTCGCCGCTTGGCTCCGAATCACGCCCAGGATCCCTACAAACAACCAAACTCTCCTCATCGGCCACGTATGCCATCAGGCATGCGGCACCTGCCGCCTTGGCGGCAGGGGTCGGGCCCTCCTCCTGAGTGGAGAGCTGAGCAGCCGCGCGCAGCAGCAGCGACGGCAGCCGCGCCGCGAGCGCCTCACGGCACCAGCTGGAGCGCGCTGGACATGCGGGCCACATGGCGGCGACAAACAGCAGCTGGGTGGCCGCGGCGACGGCGCCGCCGCTCTTGTCGTCGCCGCTGCTGCGGGCGGCGGCCTCGAGGGGGCCTTGCAACGCGGCAGCCAGCGCTGCTGCTGACCCGGGGTGCGAGAAGAGGGCCGGTGCCTCATACTCTTCTGCGGCCGTCCCAGCAACCGGCTCACCAGTGCTGGTTGCCGCCCTGGCTGCACCAAGCGCCTTCATGCTCTGCTCCAAGGCCTGCAAAGCACAGGACGCGGCCACCCACATGAGCTTGCCGCGCAAGCCCGTTGCAGCGCCCCGCCCAGCCGCAACCTCAATCAGCGGCCCTGTGAGTGCCGCCGCAGCGGCAGACACGTGCGTGGGGCCGGCGCCCCGGCAGCGCCGAGAGGCGCTGTGGGGCGTCCTCGGCGAAGTGGCGGCGCCACCTGGCTGCTGAACTTGGTGTCCAAGGGGCACCGTATTTTTGAACACATCGAGGATGATTTGAACTGCCTCCATCATGACAGTGTAGCGCAGCTCCGGTTTCATGGCTGCATCGGCTGGCGCGTCGCTCTGGGCACAGGCCGCGACACTCCGCCCTGCACTGCTGCCGCCGCCGTTGCCCACGCCACTGCGGCTGTCGCCGGGCTCCCGCAGCTCGAGGAAGGGCACCAACGCCTCAAGACCCTCGCCCGGAGGCAGCCGCAGCAGCGCGTCCGGGCCGGCTACGCTGTAGCTGACCAGCTGCAGCAGCCCCATAGGCGGGGACCAGCCTTTGCGGCCGCTGGCCACCTCTGCCCGCAGGGCCTCGCAGGCTAGGGCGGCGGCTTCTGCCGCGCACGGCTCCAGCTGCGTGGCGGCCGCACCCATCGTCTCTGCGGAGGCTTCAGTCGGCCCCGTTTGAACCCACGCGTGTGTCATCGACCAGAACAAAAAATGCACCGGGCCATCCGGCTGCCGCAGCGACTCCTCCTGCACGGCGGCGGCCACCAACGCCGCCAACGCGCCGGGCACCCAGCAGACAGCATCCACGAGCGCGCCCGCCGCGCACGAATCGCCCCGGCCGCCTGCGCCTGCGCGCAGCCCTTTGTCACACGCGCGACTGGTGGCTAGCCTCATCGCGCCGTCGGCCAAAGTGGTGGCCCAGCGTACCGTCTGCTTGCGGTCCCTCTCTGTGGCAGCCGCCAGCCAGGGGGGCTGAGCAACGGCGCCGCCGACATTCTGGCTGCCCCCGCGCGGCCCTGTGGCCTCAACAAGCAGCCGCATGAGGGCGGCCATGGGTGCCGGCCGCGCCAGGGCTTCGTGAAGGAGACGTTCGTCTTCGATGTGTTGCGGGGGCCTGGCGGCGCGAAAAGCAGAGTGTGGGCAAGGGCGCTGTCTGCCTGTGAGTGCGGCACATATGGCGGAGCCGGTGCTTGCGCGGCAGCTGGGTTTTCGAGGTTTGAACCTGGACTAAGCGTGTGCTCGCGCCAGTGAGAGGCAGCTGATCTTGCTTGTTTTCCAGGCAAGAGGCCGGGCCCAAGTTTTGCTCACAGGAGGGCGTAAAGGAAGGCGAGTGCCGAGCAGGCTGCGAACCCGCAGCTGCCGTCGAGCTGCGTGGCCAGCGCCTGTATGCTGGCACGCGTCAGCAGCGGCGTGTTGGGAAGCCGCCGGGCCAGGGAGCGCTCCACAAAGGCCTGGAGGGCTTGGCGTGCCGCGCGCATGTCGCTGGCCACCGCGCAGCTCTGCAGGTCGCGCGCCAGGGCAGCCACATCCGCATCCAGGGGCTCTGGAGGAGGCGCGCGACGGCGACCTCTCCCGAACTTCGCAGTGGCCAAATGAGACGCGTTCATGTCTTTCAGCCCTCACGAGTACTGGTGATGCCTTGACAAAAGTGATCTGACGAGACAAGGCCGTCTTGTTCGAAACGAGTAGCTCTAGAAAGGGTGCAACTGAGTGAGGTTACAACCAAAAGCAAGCCCGATGTGGTTGCATATCGCTTTACTGTGTATTGTTCTCTGGGCTGCGCCGCAAGCCACAAACACAGCACTGCTTGGCAAGCTGACATACAGGATCACTTGACCGCAGAAATTCTGTGCTCTCACATGATCACAAGCCTGCTATTGCGGATTCAATCCCACTAAATAGATATTGAGGGGGTTGCAACCGTCAGTCGGCGGTCACTTCTCATGACAACCGCAGGTCAGGCAGCGCCGCGGCTGGCAGCGCCCGGCCCCCAACATCCAAGTGTACCCGAAAGCCATCACTACTTGCCCGCCTCAACCACACCCCATGCATTGCAGCGCCTGTTCAAACGCCGCCTCCTGGTGCACTGTGGCCAACATGGCCACACTCCATGATGGGTTGCCCCCCTCCAGCCCACACTCCGCCTCTGCGACCTCCAGATCAAGCGCCGCCCCTTGCCGCGCGGCAGTCTGCCTTGTGGGCCCGCCAGTGGCCGCGCTGACTGCGGTGAGCGGGGCACAGGCACATACATATCAATTCACCAATAATCGGCGGTGTTGGGAGAGCGCGCAAGAGCAGGATTGTGAGAGCGAGGGGCGGGGGCGCGTATCAGCAGCATATGTATGCCTCAGCCACAGGTGTTGGCCTGTGAGGGAACCCTTCCTTGCATAATTCTGACTTGCCTGCTGACACATACACAGAATCCCTTCTGTGTGCCATCTTGCACTGTTGTATTAAACTTTCGTCCTCGACCCACTTTCCCCTCTTTCCCCCGCCCCCAGACTCACCACTCCACAGAGCAGTAGAACACGCCCTCCGCCCTGCAGCCGCTGCAGCGCCTCAGCGTCACCCCGTCGCCACGCCCCCTGCCGCACACCAGGCAGCGCCGATCATCAGCCCGCGACAGAGGCCCCGGCCCCGGCAGCGGCAGCGGGGACGGCGCCTCACGGCGCCGCAGGAAGCCCAGGGCAGCTGCCGTGTCCGCCGCCAGCGCGCCACCTGGCTCCCTAGCTGCACCCAGCCGCAGCAGCGCGGCCTCTGCCTCTGCGAACATGCCCTCGATGTCGTCGCGAGCGCCACGCGCTGCCGCTTCCGGGAGCCGGCGCTGCTGCTGCTGACCCGCGTCGGCCGCCTCCACACGCGGATCATCAACAGCCAACGCCATCACTGACAGCAGCTGCATAGTCGTGTGCGCGCCGGCCGCCAGGCGCCCGCCGCCGCCGCTAGGGCCCGCCGCCCGCGCCGCAGCCGCGCAGCGCAGGAGCGCGCCCACGACGGCGGTCGCGGCCCCGGGATGCGCGGCCAGGTCGGCCGCCGCGCTGCTCGAATCTTGGCAGGCGTGCAGGGCGCCAGCCGCTGCTAGCATTGCAGCTTCCGGGCAGCCGCTGCCAGCGCACGGCATCAGCGCCTCCAGCGCCCGGGCCCTGATTGCTGACAGGGGCTCGCCGCCAGGCGCCTGATCATGCCTGACATGCTGCATTTCGAAACCCAAAGGCTCGTCACCGCCCGCGTACGCCATGAGGCAAACGGTGGCGGCCGCCCTCGCGGCGTCAGCGGGGCCGTTCAGCTTGGTGGAGACCTGCACGGCTGCACGCAGCAGCAGCGAGGGCAGCCCCGCCGTGACCGCCTCGCGGCACCACTGGGTGCGCTCTCGACCCGGGTTCGCCATGGCGGCTCCAAAGAGCAGCCGGGCGGCCTCGACGACGGCGACGCCGCTGTTGTTGCCGCTGCTGCTGCTGTGCGCGGCGGCCTCGAGGGCGCCTCGCAGCGTGGTGGCGAGCGCTGCCGCTGATCCGGGGTGCAGAAAGAGCGCCGGCGGTTCATGCCACTCCACGTCTGCACCAGCAGCTGGCCCCCAGGCCCCGAAAACGACCACCCATATGCTCCGCTCCAAGGCCTCCAGAGCGTAAAACGCAACATCCCAAATGGGCTTGCCGCGCAACCCGGCCGCAGCGCCCCGCCCGGCCACGACCTCGATCAGCGGCCCTGTGAGTGCCCCCACGACGGCAGACGCATGCATGAGGCCATTGCCCGCGGCGGACTCCGGCGGGGCCCCGTCAGACGCGCTCCGGCTTGACCCGGGCGGCGCGGCCTCGGCGCCGCCCGGCCATCGGCGGTGCTGTTCGAGGAGCACCGCGCGTTTGAATACGTTTTGGATGACCGTGATCGCCTCCATCAGGACGGTGAGCCGTGCTTCGGCCCCGCTCGACGCACCAGCTGGCGCGCCCCGCCGGGCATCAGCCGCAGCACTCCCCCCAGCAGCACTGCCGCCGCGGCCCCTGCCGCTGCAGCCGTCGCCGGGCTCCCGCGGGGCAAGAAAGGGCACCAACAGGCCGAGCCCCTCGGCCGGCGGCAGCCGCAGTAGAGCGGCCGCGCCGGCGTCGCTGTGGCTGAGCAGTTCCAGGAGCCCCAGGGACAGGGGGCGGCCACCGCGACGGTCGGCCATGGCGACAATCCGCAGGTCAGCAAAGGCTAGCGCCGCGGCTTCAATCGCGCACGGCTCCAGCTGCGAGGCGATGCGGTTCGTCAGCTCTGCAGAAGCTTTAAGTGGCTCCGCGATCCTCTCGACGAGGCTCAGGCAATGAAACATGTCAAAGACTGCGCCCTCCGGCAACCGCAGCGACTCCTCGCTCGCGGCGGCGGCAATAAAGGCCGCGGCTGCGCCAGGCGCAGCGCAGAACGCCTCGGTGAGCGCGATTGCGGAGCGCCGCAGCTGCCTGCTGTCGGCGTCGTCGCGGTCCCTCGCGTCGAGAGTGCGGATGCTGACCACCTTCATCGCGCCGTCGGCCAGCACAATCGCCCACAGCGCCATCAGCCGGCGGTCCCTCTCAGTGGCAGCCGCCAGCCAGAGCGGCTCAGAGCCGCCGCCGCCGCCGCCGCCGCCGACGCCGCCGCCCCCCCGGGCGTCCCCGTGCGGCCCTGTGGCCTCGACCAGCAGCCGCATGAGGGCGGTCATGGGGGCTGGCCGCGCCAGGGCTTCGTGAAGAAAACGCCCGTCCTCAAAGTGATACGGGTGCCTGGCGGCGCGACAAGCAGGGCGCAAGCAAGAGGGGTGTCCGATCGCAGGCGCAGCACAGTTGGCGGAGCCGTAGCGGTCTGGCAGCAGCTGCGCATTTGTGGCCCAGGATTCAAGGTGTTTTGTTGCATCGCTGAGGGGCGCTGACCTTGGTAATCCAGGAAAGGGGCCGCATGCTGGCCATGCGATTTGCTCACTCGAGGTGGTGAAGGAGAGAGAGCGCCTTGCACGCTGCAAACCCGCAGCTGCCGTCCAGCTGCTCGACCAGCGCCTGTATGCTGGTGCGCGTCAGTAGCGGCGGATTTGGGAGCCGCCGCGCCATGGAGCGATCCACAAAGGCCTGGAGGGCTTGGCGTGCCGCGTGCATATCGCTGGCCGCCGCGCAGCGCTGCAGGTCGCGCGCCAGGGCAGCCACGTCCGCATTCAGGGCCTCTACAGGAGGCGCGCCAGGGAGGACTATATCGAATTTCACGGTGAATACATCAGACGAGTTCATGTTTGGCCGTTGCCCTCACGAGTCCCTGTGATACCTCAAAATTTGTGATCTGTCGAGATCAGGCCGTCTTGTTTGTTGTGGGTGTATTGAGTGGATAAATGTTTAAGGAACAAACAATTGTGCCTGTTATTTCAGGCGGGAGGTGTCTGGTGTTGAATCAAGCCCTTCTTGACGAGGGTCGCTCTTGTCTGAACGAGGAAGTGTAAACCCGACGCCTAATCACCTGACAACGCTTCCTCGACACGCACTGGCGATTATGATCATTATAAGTTTGTGCCCACTGCACGTTACCCTGTGGCGAGCCTTTAACAGGGTGCCTAGTGTGGGGCCCTCACAACCGGCGGCCGAGAGCAAGCCCGAGAGCAGTGGCCGGGCGGCGGCACTTTTGTAGCAACCGCGCTCGCTGCGTGGCGGTGGCACTGCGGCAGCATGTGAAATCAACACTCTGCTCTGAGCAGGCATGCAGGAGGTGGGGTTGATGGCGGGGGGCGAGCTGGGGCAGCCTGTGGCTGAACGCGCTCGCCTGGTAATCACATGCAACTGACCGCCGGCTTTTTGACACACAACAATGGGGTGGTGGCGCGGGGGCCGCCAGGGGCCGCCAGGGGCCGCCAGGGGCCGCCAGGGGCCGCCAGGGGCCGCCAGGGGCGTTTGGTTCAGGGTTGGGGTGTCAGCCGCAGCGGCACTGAACGGTTCCGTAAGACAACCTTGGATGTTGTTTACACCACATCATGCCCTGCCAGCAGCGAGGGGCAAACCCTAACGACAACAAACCCTCACACGCACCTTGCACATCTTCCTGGTGTGCCCGCTAGGATAGGGTCCCCCCCGGCCGCTGTCTGCTCGGCTGTGTTGCCAGCCTCTGGCATGGCGAGTCAACGCAGTCGATGCCAAGCCCTGACCAGGCCGCAGGTCGCGCCGCGCTCTCAAGGGCCTGCAACTGAGGTTGTTACCGGCCGTATCAGCACGTAAGTGGGGGCGTCAGTCCGCCCTCACCGAATCCTCGCACCCTTGATGCCAACACTAGAGGTCGAGCAGCACATAAAGCGGCAGCATTATTGGAACAAACGCACGCGCAAACCGCTGTCCACAGCATGACAGCCGCTCCTTGCCCGTCCCCCTCCTGCGCCGTGCAGTGCAGTGCAACGGCCCCTGGCCCCGCACGCCGCTGCAGGTGTGCTTGCGCTGCGGTTCCATGTGGCACCTCAAGCGCCCCCTCCCGCTGCCGCATCACGCGGGGGCGCCGCCCCTCGCCGCGCGGCAGTCTGCTTTGTGGGCCGGCCAGTGGCTGCGCTGGCTGCGGGGCGCAGGGGCACATGGATATTGGTGGAGTTGCAAGGGGAGGCCGCAGCATGATTGTGAGGGCACGGAGCGGCGGCGCATACAAGCAAAAGTTGCCGCAGCTCCACGTCACAGCGATTGAGAGCGCCCTGCATTACGTCCTGGCATTCCAGCCCTGCCATCTAGATGGCAGATCTGCATCGTCACTTCTCTGTCCTGTCTTGCGCTCTTGTACGCATTTCCCCCGCGACTCATTTTCCGCCCGATCTCTTGCCCCCCATGCTCACCACTCCACGGAGCAGTAGAACACGCCCTCCGCCCTGCAGCCGCTGCAGCGCCTGAGCGTCACCCCGCCGCCACGGCCCCTGCCGCACACCAGGCAGCGCCGAACGTCAGCCAACAGCAGGGGCGCGGGCCCCGGCAGCGGCGGCGGCGGCTCACGGCGCCGCAGGAAGCCCAAGGCAGCTGCCGCGTCATCCGCCAGCGCCCCACCTCGACCCCCGGCTGCACACAGCCGCAGCAGCGCAGCCTCTGCCTCTGCGAGTATGGCCTGGATGCCGTCACGCGCGCAACGCGCTGCCTCGTCTGGAAGCCGGCGCTGCTGCCGCTGCATCGCCTCGGCCGCCTCCACATGCGGCTCATCAACAGCCGACGCCATCACTGACAGCAGCTGCAAAGTCGTGCGCGCCGCGGCAACGAAGCGCTCGCTGCTGTGGACCCCGCTCGGGCCCGCCGCCCACGCCGCAGCCGCGCAGCGCAGGAGGGCGCCCACAAGGGCGGTCGCGGCCCCGGGATGCGCGGCCAGGTCGGCTGCGGCGCTGCTCAAATCTTGGCAGGTGTGTATGGCGCCCGCCACCGCCTGCATTGCCGCATCCGTGCAGCCGCCGCCGGTCAACGCCACCAGCGCCTCCAGCGCCCTGGCCCTGATTTCTGACAGGGGCTCGCCCCCCGTCACCAAATCGTGCCTGACATGCTGCGTGTCAAGATCCAAGCGCGCATCACCGGCCGTGTACGCCATGAGGCAAACGGCGGCGGCCGCCCTTGCTGCGTTAGCGGGGTCGTTCGGCTTGGTGGAGATCTGAACCGCCGCGCGCAGCAGCAGCGACAGCAGCCCCGCTGCGACCGCCTCGCGGCACCACTGGGTGCGCTGTCCACCGGGTGGCGCCATGGCAGCGGCAAAAAGCAGCCCGGCGGCCTCAGCGACGGCAAGGCCGCTGTTGCCGTTGCCGCCGCCGCTGCTGGCGGCCTCCAGGGCGCCTCGCAGCGTGGCAGCGAGCGCCGCCGCCGACCCGGGGTGCAGAAAGAGCGCCAGCGGCTCGTGCTCTGCCACGCCTGCGCCAGCAACTGGCCCGCTGGCCATGTGAGCGACATTGGCTGCAATATTAACCACCCATATGCTCCGCTCCAAGGCCTGCAGAGCGTAACACGCAACCGCCCAGGTGGCGGTGCCGCCGAGCCCCGCTGCAGCGCCCCGCCCGGCCGCGACCTCGATCAGCGGCCCTGTGAGCGCCGCCGCGACGGCAGACGCGTGCGTGGAGCCGACGCCCCCGCCGAACCCCAACGGGGGACTGCCGGACCGAGACGCGCTCTGGCTGGCCCTAAGTGGCGCAGTCCCTGGTCCGCCCGGCTCAATGACCGCGCCGCCTGGCGAAAGGCGCTGCTGGACGAGGCCCACCGCGCATCCGAATACGTTGTAAACGACCGTGAGCGCCCCCATCGCGTCAGCGAGTCGTATTTCTGTCCCGCTCGCACCACCAGCTAGCACGTCCCGCCGGGCACCCGTCGCAGCGCTCCCCCCGTCAGCACTGCTGCCGCCGCCGCCCCCGCCGGCCCCCCCGCCGCAGCAGCCATGACCGGGCTCCCGCAGGGCAAGCAAGGGCACCAACAGGCCAAGCCCCTCGGCCGGCGGCAGCCGCAGCAGAGCGGACGCGCCGGCATCGCTGAGACTGAGCAGATGCATGAGCCCCAGGGACAGAGGCCGACCATCGCCACTCCCAGCCAGCTCGGCCCCTAGGGCCCTGCAGGCTACCGCGGCGGCTTCCGCCGCGCATGGCTCCAGCTGCATGGCGACGCGGATCGTCAGCTCATCCGAGACCTCCAGTGGCGCCACAATCTTCCCAATGCGGCTCACCAGCCAAAACAACCCGAAGACCGCGCCGTCTGGCCGCCGCAGCAGCTCCTCGCTCGTGGCGGCGGCGATCAAGGCCGCCACGGCTCCGGGCACAGCGCAGAACGCCTCGGCGAGCGCAACCGCGGAGCGCCGCAGCAGCCTGCTGTCTGCATCGTCGCGGTCCCCCGCGTTCGAAGCAAGAATGCTTGAAAACTTCATTGCGCCATCGGCCAGCGTGGCGGCCTTCATCGCTATCCCCCGGCGGTCCCTCCCTGTGGCAGCCGCCAGCCACGGCGGCTCAGAGCCGCCGCCGCCGCCCCGGCCGTCCCCGCGCGGCCCTGTGGCCTCGACCAGCAGCCGCGTGAGGGCGCTAATGGGGGCTGGCCGTGCCAGGGCTTCATAAAAGGACGTCACGTCTTCAATGTGTCGCTGGTGCCTGGCGGCGTGGCAAGCACGGCGCGAGCAGTGACGTTGTCCGCTCGCGGGCGTAGCAAGGTTGGCGGAGCCGTTGTTTTGCAGCAGGTGTGGTTTTATAATTTCTGGCTCGTCAGGATCAATTTGCGCCGGTGAGTGGCAGCTGATCTCGCTATTCCAAGAAAGTGGCCGCATGCCGGCCATGCATTTTGCTCACAGGAGGGCGTGAAGCACAACAAGCGCCGAGCAGGCTGCAAACCCGCAGCTGCCGTCCAGCTGCTTGGCCAGCGCCTGTATGCTGGCACGCGTCATCAGCGTCGCGTCTGGGAGCCGCCGCGCCAAGGAGCGCTCCTCAAAGGCCTGGAGGGCTTGGCGTGCCGCGTGCACGTCGCTGGCCGCCGCGCAGCGCTGCAGGTCGCGCGCCAGGGCAGCCACGTCCGCATCCAGGGGCTCTGGAGGAGACGCGCCACGGCGACCTCTACCGACCTCAGCAGTGGCCAAATCAGACGCGTTCATGTCTTTCAGCGCCCACGAGTACAGGTTATTCCTCGACCAAAGTGATCTGACGAGACAAGGCGTCTTGTTTTGAGACGAGTAGCTTTAGTGATGGTGCAACTGAGTGAGGTTACAACCAAAAGCAAGCCCGATGTGGTTGCATATGGCTTTACTGGGTATTGTTCTCTGCGCTGCGCCGCAAGCCACAAGCAAGGCACTGCTTGGCAAGCTGACATCCAGGATCACTTGACCGCAGACATTCTGTGCTCTCACATGATCACAAGCCTGCTACTGCGGATTCACTGCGACTAACGAGACATTGAGGGGGTTGCAACCGCCAGTCGGCGGTCACTTCTCATGACAACGGCAGGTCAGGCAGCGCCGCGGCTGGCAGCGCCCGGCCCCCAACATTCAAGTGTATCCGAAAGCCGTTACTACTTGCCCGTCTTGACCACACGCGACGCGTTGCAGCACCTGTCCAACTCCACCTCCATGTGCACAGTGGCCAACATGGCCACACCCCATGATGGGTCGCACCCCTCCAGCCCACCCTTCGCCTCAGCAAATTCTGGATCAGGCACCGCCCTTTGCCGCGCGGCAGTCTGCCTTGTGGGCCCGCCAGTGGCTGCGCTGACTGCGGGGCGAGGGGCACAGGCACATAGATATCATTTCACCGATGATCGGTGGTGTTGCAAGAGCGCGCAAGAGCGGGAGAGAGAGAGAGAGAGAGAGAGAGAGAGAGAGAGAGAGAGAGAGGAGCGGGGGCGCGTCCCAGCATCATGTGTATGCCTCAGCCGCAGGTCCTGTGAGGGAACCCTTCCTTGCATAAGTATGACTTGCCAGCCAACACATACGCAGCATCCCTTCTGTATGTGTGCCATCTTGCACTGTTGTAAGTCTCTCGTAGAGACAGAACTCCCTCATTCCCCCGCTCCCCAGGCTCACCACTCCACAGAGCAGTAGAACGCGCCCTCCGCCCTGCAGCCGGTGCAGCGCCTCAGCGTCACCCCGTCGCCACGCCCCTTGCCGCACGCCAAGCAGCGCCGGCCATCTGCCCGCAGCAGGGGCCCCGGCAACGAAAGCGGTGGCGGCGCCTCGCGGCGCCGCAGGAAGCCCAGGGCAGTTTCCATGTCATCCGCCAACGCGCCACCTTGACTCCTTGCTGTGCACAGCCGCAGCAGCGCGGCCTCGGCCGCCGCGTGCGCCTGCTCAATGTTGACGTTGCGTTCGCCTGCAAGGGTCGCCTCCACATGCTGACACTGCCACTCTGCCGCGTCGTTGGCCTCAGCGTCGTCCTCGCAGGCGGCCGCGGCCACCATCGACAGCAGCAGCGCAGCCACCCCCGCGCCGCCGGCCATGCGCCCGCCTTCCCGGCTGCCCCCGGGGGCGGCCGCCCGCGCATCGGATGCGCAGCGCAGGAGCGCGCCCACGAGGGCGGTCGCGGCCCCGCAACGCGCGGCCAGGTCAGCCGCACAACCGCCCGAGAGACTGCAAGCGCGCAGAGCGCACCCCACTGCGACATTTGCAGCTTCTGGGCAGCCGCCGCCGGCGCATGCCAACAGCGCCTCCAACGCTCTGGCCCTGATCTCTGTCACTGACTCGGCTCTTGTTGGCGGCGGCTGGTTGCACCTGGTCCCCTGCCTGTCCACTGAAATGCCGTCATATTCTGTGTAAGCCACCAGGCACGCCGCACACACCGCCCTGGCGGCGCCGACGGGGTCATCTTGGTGGGTCGAGAGCTGCACGGCCGCGCGCAGCAGCAGCGCGGGCAGCCGCGCCGCAAGCGCGTCGCGGCACCACTGGGTGCGCGCGGGGCCGCCGCATGCCATGGCAACTGTGTTCAGCAGTGTGGCAGACGTGGCGACAATCATGCGGCCGACGCGGCTGCTGTCGGCGGCCCCGAGCGCTGCTTGCAGAACCCCAGCGAGGGCCGCCGCCGAACCGGGGTGCGAATGAATCACCAGCGGCTCCTCCTCCTCCTCGCCCTCGCCCTCGCCCTCATCCGGAGCTGGCCTGCTGCCGCCGCGGCGCGCCTCGGCCATCAGTTCCCACGGGACGCCGGCCCCAATGCTCCAAACGCTCTGCTCCAAGGCATGCAGGGCCAGCAAAGACATGGGCAGCCTGGGCTCCCCGCGCAGTCTTGCTGCGCCGCTCCGCCCGGCCGCGACCTCCAGCAGCGGTCCCGTGAGCGCCGCCACCGCGGCGCGCACGCGTGCAGGGTCAGCAGCCCTGCTCAAGGCGCTCGGTCGGGCGTTCTGCGGCGCGGCCTCGGCGCCGTCGTGCTCCTGCTCCCGCCTCATGTGCGCTGCATGCTCGAAGACCCTGCTGATCGCAATAAGGATATTGTCATCCAACGCAAACTCAAACGTCGTCCGGCCTCCTGCACCCGCTGGCGCGCCCCGCTGCGCGCCTGCCGATTCACTCCGCTCGGCGCCGCTGCCGCTGCGGGCCCCTCTGCTGCGGTTGTCGCCGGGCTGTGGCGGCGTGAGGAAGCGCACCAACAGGCCAAGCCCCTCCGCGAGCGGACGCTGCAGCAGAGCGGCCGCGCCGGCGGCGCTGTAGCTGAGCAGCTGCAGCAGCCCAAGGGGCAAGAAGCTGCCATTGCCAAGGCCAGCCAGCTCGTCTCGCAGGGCTCTGCAGGCTAGCGCGGCGGCTTCGGCCGCGCACGGCTCCAGCTGCATGGCGACGCGGACCATCAGCTCTTCCGCGACAACTGGGGGCGTCACGTGTCTTCTCGTGCGGCTGAGCATCCAGAACATCGAAATGACCGGGCTGTTCGGCTGGCTCAGCGACTCCTCCATTGCGGCTGCGGCAACCAAGCCCGCTGCGGCTCCGGGCACTGCGCAAAATGCCTCGGTGAGCGCAACAGCGGAGCGGCGCCGCTGCCTGCTGTCTGCGTCGTCGCGGTCCCTCGCCTCAAACGCGCGACTGCCAACCAGCACCATCGCGCCGGCGGCCAGCGAGGCGGTCCGCAGCGCCATCTGCCGGCGGTCCCTTTCCGTGGCTGCCGCCAGCCACAGCGGCTCAGAGCCGCCGCCGGCGCTGCCGTCCCCGTGCGGCCCTGTGGCCTCAACCAGCAGCCGCATGAGGGCGGTCATGGGGGCGGGCTGCGCAAGGGCTTGGTAAAGGAGACGCCCGTCTGCTGTGTGTTGCGGGTTCCTGGCGGCGCGAACAGTAGGGTGTGAGTTCTGTGGTCAGCAAGGGTGATGTTATTGACGAGGCACCGTTGAGAGGCGTGACGAGCGCAAACAGGCCCTCGCTTGCGTAGCAGGTGCAAACTTTGAGGTTGTGCTCGGCTGCACTGCTGGGGCGGAGGCGTGTTGCAGTTCATGGCCGGGCAAGGGGAGCCAGCCGGTGTCAGCTCTCACACGAGGCTGTCGAGAACCGTCAGGGAGGAGCAGGCTGCAAACCCGCAGCAACCTTGAAGCTGCTCGACGAGCGCCTCTACGCTGGTGTGCGTCAGAAGCGGCGCGTCCATGGAGCGCCGCGAGAGGCAGCGCCTGAAGAAGGTCACGTAAGCTTGGCGGGCCGCGTGTGTGTCGCTGGCCGCCGCGCAGTGCTGCAGGTGGCGCGCCAGGGCAGCCACGTCCGCATCCAGGGGCTCTGGGGGTGGCGAGCCGCGGGGGCCCAGCGCGCGGTCGCTGATGAAGGGAGCAAACGCGTTCATGAAGTCGCCCTTACGAGCCGGGCCTCGACAACACCGATCTGACGAGGATGGCCGTCTCAACAGTTGACAAGGTACCGGCATTGGAGTTCACAGCGATAACACTAGCTATTGCATGTGTTGAATAAAGCGATGTCAGGCGAGCAGATGTATGGTTCACACTTTCTCGGTCAGACAAAGGAGGTGAATTCAACTTGGTGCCTCGGTCGGCACGAGAGTGGTGTGATTCATCACCAGACCTCGCCTGGTTGGAAGGAAGCGGCAGCAGAATACGCCTGCCGCTCATTTGCTTGTCGAATCGGCCACTTACCGTACCCAGAAAATCACACAGCCTATTCTCGTCGGTTCACTATTTTCGAGGCATCGGAACTGGTACTCGTGAGGGCAATCGCATGGACGCCTCTAATTTGGTTATTGCGAGTATTGATATAGGTCACCATGGCGGGCCTCCTCCAGAGCCCCTGGATTCGGACGTGGCTGCCCTGGCGAGAGACCTGCAGCGCTGCGCCGCAGCCAGCGACATGCATGCGGCACGCCAAGCCCTTCAGGCCTTTGTGGAGCGCTCCCTGGCGCTGCGGTTCCCAAATCCGCCGCTGCTGACGCGCACCAGCATACATGCTCTGGTCCAGCAGCTATACGGCAGCTGCGGGTTTGCAGCCTGCACGGCGCTCGTTCTCCTTCACGCCCTCCTGTGAGCAACAAGCGCACCACCAGCAGCTCGCAGCCTCTTGTTTGAGATCTCAAGATCAGCTCCCCTCACCGATACAAAAGTAATCCGTACAAGTCTGATCTACAAAGCATCAGCTGCCGCCCGAGCTGCAGCTCCGCCAACTTTGCTGTGCCCGCGATGGGAGTCGGACAACCCTCTTGCTCGTGCCCCGCTTTCCGCGCCGCCAGGAACCAGCAACACACTGAAGATGCGCGTCTCCTTCACGAAGCCCTGGCGCGGCCTGCGCCCATGACCGCCCTCATGCGGCTGCTGGTTGAGGCCACAGGGCCGCGCAGGGGCGGCCGCGGCGGCGGCGGCGCCAGCAGTGGCGGCGCCGGCTGTGGCGGCTCTGAGCCGCTCTGGCTGGCGGCCGCGACTGAAGGGGACCGCCAGGAGGTGGGCCTGCGAGCCATTGTGCTGGCGGTCGCCGCCATGAGGATGGTCAGCACTCCGAGTCGCGCTTCCCAGGAGCGGCTGCACGCCGCCGCGGGCGGCCGGGGCGATTGGCTTGCGGCGGCCCCGCTTGCAGATGCGGTCTGCGGGGTACCTGGCGCGTTGCCGGCTCTGGTGGCCGCCGCCGGGCAGGTGGACTCGCTGCAGCAGCCGGACAGCCCAGCGCATGCATTGTTCATTTTGTTGCTGCGCGCCTGGGATCAAACAACGCCGCCCGCCGGTGATTTGGAGGAGAGGATTGCTCCGGCCGCCACGCAGCTGGAGCCGTGCGCGGCTGAAGCCGCGGCACTAGCCTGCGGGGTTCTGCAGGCCGAGCTGGCAGGCATTCGGCCCTTGTCCCTGGGGCTCCTGCAGCTGCTCAGCCACAGCGCCGCCGGTGCGGCCGCGCTGCTGCGGCTGCCGCCAGCCGAGGGGCTTGGCCTGTTGGTGCCCTTGCTTGCCCTGCGGGAGCCTGGCGACGGCTGCAGCGGCGGGGGCCGCGGCTGCAGTGCTGCTGGGGCGAGTGCTACGGCGGATGCCCGGCAGGGCGTGCAAGGTGGTGCGGTGAGCGAGGACGAAGTTCGGCTCACCGTCGTGGCGGAAGCGCTCACGGTCATCCGCAACGTATTCAGACACGTGGCGCGCCTTGGACAGCAACGCCTGCGGTCGGGCGGCGCCGGGGCTGCGCCGCCCGGCGCCAGCCGCAGCGCGTCTGACAGGCCCCCGCCAGAGTTCGGCGGGGGCGATGACCCCACGCGCGCGTCTGCCGTCGTGGCGGCACTCATGGGGCCGCTGATCGAGGTCGCAGCCGGGCGGGGCGCTGCAGCGGGGTTCCGCAGCAAGGACATCTGGGTGTTGGCGTCTTGCGCTCTGGAGGCATTGGAGCGCAGCATGTGGGTGGTCTTCGCTGCAGCCGAGGTCGCCTACATGGCCAGCGGGCCAGCTGCTGGCGCAGGCGTGGAAGAGCGCGAGCCGCTGGCGCTCTTTCTGCACCCCGGGTCAGCGGCGACGCTCACCGCCATGCTGCGAGGCGCCCTCGAGGCCGCCACCCGCAGCGGCGACCGCGACGGCAACAGCGGCGTCGCCGTCTCTGAGGCCGCCGGGCTGCTGTTTGCGGCCGCCATGGCGCCCCCAGGTCAAGAGCGCACCCAGTGGTGCCGCGAGGCGGTCGCGGCGGAGCTGCCCTCGCTGCTGCTACGCGCGGCCGTGCAGCTCTCCACCCAACTGGACGACCCCGCTGCCGCGGCCAGGGCCGCGAGCGCCGCGTGCGTGATGGCGTACGCGGCCGACAACGAGTGTTTGGCTGTTGATACGCAGGACGAAAGGCGTGAATGGGCGCCAGGCGGCGAGCCCCTGTCAGGAACGAGGGCCGCGGCGCTGTCAGCGCTGGTGGCGTGCGCCGGCAGCAGCTGCTCAGAGGCAGCAATGCAAGCGGCGGCCGGCGCCCTGCACACCTGCCAAGAATCCAGCGGCTGCGCGGCCGACCTGGCCGCGCATCCCGGGGCCGCGACCGCCCTCGTGGGCGCACTCCTGCGCTGCGCGGCTGCGGCGCGGGCGGCCGGCCTCGGGGGCAGTTACGGCAGCATGCGCATGGCGGGTGGCACGGGGGCGGCCGGGCTGCTGCTGTCAATGGTGGCCGCGGCCGCCTGCGAGGACGACGCTGAGGCCACCGCTGCAGCAAAGCGCCAGAGCCGGTGCGTGGACGCGACCGTTGGGGGCAACGAAAACGACAACATTGAAGAGTCGCATGCGGCGGCCGAGGCCGCGCTGCTGCGGCTGGTTGCAGCCGGGGGTCAAGGTGGTCTGCTGGCGGCGGACGCGGAAGCTGCCCTGGGCTTCCTGCGGCGCCGCGAGGCGCCGCCGCCGCTGGCGGGGCCGGGGGCCCTGGTGTTGACTGACGGCCGGCGCTGCCTGGCGTGCGGCAAGGGGCGTGGCGGCGGGGTGACGCTCAGGCGCTGCAGCGGCTGCATGGCGGAGGGCGTGTATTATTGCTCTGTGGAGTGGTGAGCCTGGGATGTTGGAGGCGACGGGTCGCCCCTGGCCGGGAGAAAATCGCAATTTGGGCGCGGACAGCAGCAGCAGGGGACAGGGTATCAAGAAAATTGTTGCCAATACCAGGGTCAGTATATCAGCGTTGAGCATTGAGGTGCCAGTGAGGGGCCGGTGGGCCTGACGCGGCCAAAGCCAGCCGCTCCACAAAACATTAGCGTGCCCTCCCCCTCACCACCTGTTCCTTGCTGACGCCACCCCTCGCCCCGCAACCGCACGCGTGTGCTTGTGTCCCGCGCCCCGCAGTCAGCGCAGCCACTGGCGGGCCCACAAGGCAGACTGCCGCGCGGCGAGGGGCGGCGCTTGATGGCGGAAGCTGCGGAGGCGGAGTGTCGGCTGGAGGGGGGCGACCCATCATGGGGTGTGGCCATATTGACCACAGTGCACCAGGAGTTGGAGTTGGACAGGCACTGCAATGCGTGGCGTATGGTTAAAGCGGGCGAGTATTAGCGGCTTTTGGATACACTTGGGATGTGTGTGCGGGTCAGGCGCTGCCAGCCGCGGTGCTGCCTGACCTGCGGTTGTTAAAATGAAGATTGACTGGTGGTCCGAACCTCCTGCATTGTCCGTTGCTTGGAGTAAGCGAAAAGGCAGTCGTAGGATTTTTAGGTGCACAGACTGTCTGCGGTCCAATAAAATGATCTTTGATGACAGCTTGCTTTGATTACAGTGTCTTGCGGCGCAGCCCAGAAAACAATACCCAGGGAAGCCATTGACAACCACATCGGGCTTGCTTTCGGTTGTCGCCGCACTCAGCCGCACCATCACTGCCGCTTCTCGTTTAGAAACAAGCTCAAACGGTCCTTATCTCGTCAGATCACTTTGTCGAGGAATCACCTGTACTCGTGAGGGCAACGGCACGATTATGAACGCCTCTGATTTGATCAACGTGGAAGGTGGTATAGGTCGCCATGGCCCGCCACCCCCAGAGCCCCTGGATGCTGACGTGGCTGCCCTAGCGCGCGACCTGCGGCGTTGCGCGGCCGTCAGCGACATGGAATCGGCACGCAAAGCCCTTCGGGCCTTTGTGGAGCGCTCCCTGGCGTGGCGGTTGCCAAACGCGCCGCTGCTGACGCGCGCGAGCATACAGGCGCTGGTTGAGCAGCTGGACGGCAGCTGCGGGTTTGCAGCCTGCTCTGCGCTCGCTCTCCTTCACGCCCTCCTGTAAGCAATCGCGAGCGCGCAGCCGGCTTGCAGATTTTGCCTGCAATAGTGGCAAGATCAGCTGCCTTTCACCATCGCACCACGGTTCTATAAGTCAGAATTCCACAACCGCACCTGCTGCGCAAGCGCCAGCTTCGCCAACCTTGCCAAGCCCACGATCGGACAACGCTCTTGCTTGCGCCCTGCTTTCCGCGACGACAGGCTCCCACAACAGAATGAAGATGGGAATTGCCTGTATGATTCCCTGGCGCACCCCACCCCCATGGCCGCCCTTATGCGGCTGCTGGTTGAGGCCACAGGGCCGCCTCGCGGGGACGACAGGGGCGGTGGCAGCGCGAGCGGCAGCTCTGAGCCGCTCTGGCTGGCGGCTGCCGCAGAGGGGGACCGCGCGCAGACGGCGCGCTGGGCCGCCGTGCTGGCTGATGGCGCGATGACGCTTGTCAGCATTCGCGCTCTCAACGCAAGGGGCCGCGACGACGCCGACAGCAGGCAGCGGCGGCGCTCTGCCCTGACGCTTGCCGAGGCATTCAGCGCCTCGCCCGGCGCCGTGGCGGCCTTGATTGCCGCGGCGGCAACCGAGGAGTCCCTGCGGCGGCCGGACGGCGCAGTTTTTGACATGTTCTGGATGATGAGCCGGATTCCGAGGTTTGTGGCGCCACTCAAGGTCCAAGAAGAGGTGATGACCCGCGTCGCCGTGCAGCTGGAGCCGTGCGCGGCTGAAGCCGCGGCGCTGGCCTGCGGGGCCCTGCGGGCGGAGCTGGCCGGCGGCCGCAACGGCTGCATCCTGCCCCTGGGGCTTCTGCAGTTTCTCAGTCTCAGCGCCGCCGGCGCGGTTGCGCTGCTGCGGCTGCCGCCGGGCGAGGGGCTTGACCTGTTGGCACCCTTGCTCATGGCGCGGGAGCGCCGCGACGGCCGCCGCGGCGGGGCACGCGGCGGCAGCGACACCCAGCAAAGCTCCGCGGCAGGCGCACGGCTGGGCCGGCCAGCCGGCGCAGCAAGCTTGGCTGAGCTCCCCTTTGATGGCAGCATTCTTCATGCGATCTGCAGTGTTTTCACCCACGCATCAAAAGCAAGGTGGGATGACGAGCAGGCCGGCACCGAGGCCGCGCAAAGCGCCCGGCCGAGCACAGCAAACGGGCCCACTGACCCCGCGCGCGCGCGGGACGCGGTGGCGGCGCTCACGGGGCCGCTGCTGGAGGTCGCGGCCGGGCGGGGCGGCGCTGCGGGATTGCGCGGCGATCCCAGGCTGCGCATGACTTTTCTTGCCCTGCATGCCTTGGAGCAGAGCGTTTGGAGCATTGGGGTCATCGGCCAGGGGGCTCAGATGGCTGGAGTGCACCCCAGCAGCAGCAGGAGGGGGCCCGCGCGCCAGGTTGGAAATGAGGGCGAGGGCGAGGACTTTGCATTTCCCATTTATTTGCACGCCGGCTCGGCGGCGACCCTGGCTGGGGTTCTGCAGGCAGCGCTTGAGGCCGCAGCCAGCAGTGACACCGGCCGCGAGGTCGTCGCTACGGCTGCTGCACTGTTGAACACAGCCGCCCAGACGGGCTGCGGGTCGGCGCACGCCCAGTGGTGCCGCGACGCAATCGCGGCGGGGCTGCCCTCGCTGCTGCTGCGCGCGGCCGTGCAGATCTCAGCTCAGCAGGACGACCCCATCTCGGCTGCCAAGGCATCCATTGCCGCGTGCCTGATGGCGTACATGGAAGGTGCCCAGATTTTCACAGCCAGGCAGGGCACCAGGCGCAACCGGATGCCGCCACAGAGCGCTGATCCAGTTTCAGCAATCAGGGCCAGAGCGTTGGAGGGGCTGATGGCGTGCGCAGGCGGCAGCTGCCCTGAAGCTGCGGCAGTCGCGGTGGCGGGCGCCCTGCGCATTTGCCGTATCTCAGGCGGCTGCTCGTGCGTGGTCGACCTGGCTGCGCGTCCCGGGGCCGCAACCGCCGTCGTGGGCGCGCTACTGCGCTGCGCGGCTGCGACGCGGGCGGGCGGCCCCGGGGCCAGCAGTCGCGACTGCCTGCTCATGGCGGACGGCGCGGGAATGGCTGGGCTGCTGCTGTCAATGATGGCAGCTGCTGCCTGCGAGGATGACGCCGAGGCCAGCGATGCGGCAGAGCAGCAGTGTCAGCATGTGGAGGAGACCGTTTGGGGCAACCTCAATGACAACATTGAGAAGGCGCATTCGGCGGCCGAGGCCGCGCTGCTGCGGCTGGGTGCAGCCGGGGGGCGAGGTGGCGCGCTGGCGGCGGACGCGGCAGCTGCCCTGGGCTTCCTGCGGCGCCGCGAGGCGCCGCCGCCGCTGTCTGGACCGGGGGCCCTACTGCAGGCCGGCGGTCGGCGCTGCTTGGCGTGCGGCAAGGGGCGTGGCCGCGGGGTGACGCTCAGGCGCTGCAACGGCTGCAGGGCGGAGGGCGTGTTCTACTGCTCGGTGGAGTGGTGAGCCTGGGATGTAGGAGGCGACTTGTCGCCTCTCCTTGGGAGGGATTTTGTACAAGAGCCGGGACAGCAGCAATAGAGGACAGGGTATTAAAAGGAGTGTTGCAATTGCCAGGGTCGGTGTACCGGGGGTTGAGCGATGATGGCACAGTGCAGGGCCTATGGCACTGGGGCCAAAGCTAGCCGCACCACAAAACGTCAGCGCGCATTACCTTTCACCAGCCCTCGCGCCGCAACCGTGCCTGTGCCCCGCGCCCCGCAGCCAGCGCAGCCACTGGCGGGCCCACAAGGCAGACTGCCGCGCGGCGAGGGGCGGCGCCTGACATGGAAGCTGCGGAGGCTGGAGGGGGGCGACCCATCATGAGGTGTGGCCATATTGACCACAGTGCACATGAAGGTGGAGTTGGACGAGAGCTGCAATGTGTGGCGTGTGTTTGAGGCGGGCGAATGGCAGCAGGCGAGTAGTAGCGGCTTTCGAATGCACTTGGGATGTTGGGGGTCAGGCGCTGCCAGGCGGGGGGCGCTGCATGACCTGCGGTTGATGAGACGGGACCATCGACTGGCGGTTGCAACCCCCTGAATTGTTTGTTGGAAGCAGTAAAAACGCAGTTTTAGGCTCTTGAGAGCACAGACGGTCTGCGGTGCGATCGAGTGATATTTGATGACAACTTGCTCTTGGATTGCGGCGCATGCCGAGGGAAGCAAGTGGCAACAACGTCGGGCTTACTTTCAGTTTTCACCGCACTCAGCCGCACCATCACGAGCGCTACTCTTCTAGAACAAGACCAAACGGTCCGTATCTCGTCAGATCACTGTTTCCGAGGATTCGCCTTTACTCGTGTGGGCAACGGCTCGATCATGAAGGCCTCTGATTGCCTCACCATGGAAGTTGGTATAGGTCGCCATGGCCCGCCACCCCCAGAGCCCCTGGATGCGGACGTGGCTGTCCTGGCGCGCGACCTGCAGCGCTGCGCGGCCGTCAGCGACATGGAATCAGCACGCGAAGCCCTTGAGGTCTTTGCGCAGCGCTGTACTGCCGTTACGGCGCGCCGCTGCCCGGCAGCTGCCCTGGCTGCTGACGGCCAAAAGCGCGACGACGCTTGCGGCGCGCCATGAGTGGTTTTCTCAGGAAGTGTGCGCGCCTCACCCCGCAAAAATCAATTGCCGTTCGTGGGCAGATGGCACTGTGAGAGAGTGCCGTCCTGCGCCTTGTGTGAGTTCCAACATGCTTGCCGCCTACAACTTTGCTTGCCAGCAAATCCTTGCCGCTACGCCCAGCGCAGTCAGCGCTTGGGTTTGTTCGGTCCACAGCGTGCGCTCCCGCTCCCTTGCCAGGGGGGGCGCCGGCAGTCGGCTGCCTTGCCGCTGCCCAGCATCCACACAGAGCGGCACCGCCTGCATGGTGCCCTCACGTCACCCATGTAATTGATATTACAGTACAGCGCTCCCTGGCGTGGCGGCTCCCAAACGCGCAGCAACTGACGCGCGCGAGCATACAGGCGCTGGCCAAGCAGCTGGACGGCAGCTGCGGGTTTGCAGCCTGCTCGGCGTTCGTCTTGCTTCACGCTGACCTGTGAGCAAAACGCATGGCCAGCATGCGGCCGCTATCTTGCAATGGCAAGATCAGCTGCCTCTCACCAATGCAGCATGATTCTGCAAGTTTGCATTCCAAAAGCGCACCTGCTGCGCCAGCAACGGCTCCGCAAGTTTTGCTGCGCCCGCAAGCGGACACCGTCCTTTCTCGCGCGCTGCTTTCGCCGGCGCCGCCAGGCACCCTCAACCCTGTGAAGACGAGTGTCGCGTGTACGAAGCTCTGGCGCACCCCGCCCCCATGGCCGCCCTCATGCGGCTGCTGGTCGAGGCCACAGGGCCGCGCGGGGACGCCCAGGGGGTCGGCGGTGCTGGCGGCGGCCCTGAGCCGCTCTGGCTGGCGGCTGCGACGGAGAGGGAGCGCCGGGGGATGGCGGTGCGGGCCGCCTTGCTGGCCAACGGCGCGATGAAGCTTGTCAGCATTCGCGCTTTCAACGCGAGGGGCCGCGACGATGCTGACAGCAGGCGGCTGCGGCGCTCCGCGGCCGCGCTTGCCGAGGCGTTTTGCGGGGCGCCCGGCGCCGTTGCGGCCTTGGTAGCCGCTGCAGCAAGCGAGGAGCCGCTGCGGCGGACAGACGGCCCTGTCTTTGGGATGTTCTCGATGTTGAGCCGCATCCAGAGGCTTGTGGCGCCACTGGAGGTCTCGGACGAGCTGACGACTCGCATCGCCTCGCAGCTGGAGCCGTGCGCGACCAAAGCTGCCGCGCTGGCCTGCGAGGCTCTGCGGGCCGAGCTGACCGGCGGTAGCGACGGCTGCATGGCGCCCCTGGGGCTGCTGCTGTTGCTCAGCCACAGCGCCGCCGGCGCGGCCGCTCTGCTGCGGCGGCCGCCAGGCGAGGGGCTTGAGGTGTTGGTGCCCTTGCTGCGGGGGCGCGGCGACAATCGCAGTGGCGGGGGCCGCGGCGGCCACAATATCCAGCGAACCTCCGGGACAGGCGCACAGCTGGGCGGGCCAGGTGGAAGAGCAAGCTGGGCTGAGCTCCCCTTGGATGACAGCATTCTCAGTACAATATGCAATGTTTTCAGCCGTGCATCAGACATGCAGTGGGAGTGCGAGCAGGGCAGCGCCGAGGCTGCGCCGCAGAGCGCCCGACCGAGCGCCTCGAGCAGGGCTGCTGAGCCCGCACGCGTGCGGGGGGCGGTGGCGGCGCTCACGGGGCCGCTGCTGGAGGTCGCGGCCGGGCGGGGCGGCGCGGTGGCACTGCGCGGCGAGCCCAGGTTGCGCATGACTTTTCTTGCCCTGCACGCCTTGGAGCAGAGCGTTTGGAGCTTCAGGGCCGCCGGCCAGGGGGCTCAAGTGCACCGCGGGGGCAGGAGGCCAGCTGTGCCTGAGGGTGAAAGCGCGGGCGAGGACCTGCCCATTTGTTTGCATGCCAGCTCGGCGGCGACCCTTGGTGAGGTCCTGCACGCAGCGCTCGGGGCCGCCGACAGCAGTGACACGGCCCCCGCGGTCGTCGCTTTGGCCGCTGAACTGTTTTACACAGCCGCCATGGCAGGCTGCGGGCTGGCGCACACCCGGTGGTGCCGCGACGCGATCGCGACGGGGCTGCCCTCGCTGCTGCTGCGCGCGGCTGTGCAGCTGTCGGCTCAGCATGACGACCCCATATCTGCCGCCAATGCAGCCATTGCCGCGTGCCTGATGCTGTACACACAAGATGCCGGAATTCCCACAGCCAGGCAGGGCACCATGCGCGATCGGATGCAGCCTCAGAGCGCCCATACAGTTTCAAGGATCAGGGCCAGGGCGTTGGACGTGCTGGTGGTGTGTGCCGGCGGCGGCTGCCCTGAAGCTGCGGCGGTGGCGGTGGTGGGCGCCCAGCGCATTTGCGATATCTCAAGCGGCTGCTTGTGCGCGGCCGACCTGGCCGCGCGTCCCGGGGCCGCAACCGCCGTCGTGGGCGCGCTCCTGCGCTGTGCTGATGCGGCGCGGGTGGGCGTCTCCGGGGGCATTTGCGACGGCCTGCGTATGGCGGACAGCGCAGGAGTGGCTGGGCTGCTGCTGTCTGAGATGGCGGCGGCCGCCTGCCAAAATGATGCCGAGGCTCAAGAGGCGGCAGCGCGGCAGGGCCAGCGTGTTGCGTCAACCTCTGCAAACAGATGCGACGAACTCATTGAGGCAGCGCATGCGGCGGCGGAGGCCGCGCTGCTGCGGCTGGGTGCAGGGGAGCGAGGTGGCGCGCTGGCGGCGGATGCTGCAGCTGCACTGGGCTTCCTGCGGCGCCGCAAGGCGCCGCCGCCGCTGCCTGGTTCAGGGACCCTGCTGCGGGCCGGCGGTCGGCGCTGCCTGGCGTGCGGCAAGGGGCGTGGCGACGGGCTGACGCTCAGGCGCTGCAACGGCTGCAGGGCGGAGGGCGTGTTCTACTGCTCTGTGGAGTGGTGAGCCTGGGAGGTGGGGGGGTGAGGGAAGGATGACCTAAGGAGGGCAGCTGAGTACAACAGTGCAAGATCGAACACATAACGGATGTTGCACATGTCACGGCTTGCACGGCAGGATCATGCAAATCGAGGTTTCACTCACCGGCCACTCACGGGCCACTTACCGGCCAGGACCTGCGGCTGTGGCGTGCGTCTGTTGCTTTTATGCTCCCCCGCTCTCACAATCCCGCTCTTGCCTTCTCTCGCAACACCACCAATATCTATACGCGCATGCCCCGCGCTCCGCAGCCAGCGCAGCCACTGGCAGGCCCACAAGGCAGACTGCCGCGCGGCGAGGGGCGGCGCTTGATCTGGAGGTCGCAGAGGCGGAGTGTGGGGTAGCCTCCAGCGCTGGAGGGGGGCACCCCATCACGGGGTGTGGCCATGTTGACCACAGTGCACCAGGAGGTGGAGTTGGACGGGCGCTGCAATGCGTGGCGTGTGGTTGAGGCGGGCGAGTAGTAGCGGCTTGTGGAAACACTCAGGGTGAAGTTGGGGTTCAGGCGCTGCCACTCGTGGTAGGTGCTGCCTGACCTGCGGTTGTCATGAGAAGTGACCGCCGACTGGCGATTGCAACCCCCTGGATTGTCAGTTGCATGAAGTAAAAAGTCAATAGCAGGCTTTTGAGAGCACGGTCTGTCTGCGGTCCAATAAAATGATTTTTGATGACAGCTTGCTTTGATTACATGTACAGCGGCTTGCGGCGCAGCGCAGAAAACAATACCCAGGGAATGAGGAAAGCCATTGACAGCCATTTCGGGCTCGCTTTCGGTTGTCACCGCACTCAGTTACACCATCACTGGCGCTACTCGTCTAGAAACAAGCTCAAACGGTCCTTATCTCGTCAGATCACTTTCGTCGAGGATTCACTTGTACTTGTGAGGGCAACGGCACGGTCATGGACGCCTCTAATTTACTTACCGAAGTGGGTATAGGTCGTCGTGGCCCGCGACCCCCAGAGCCCCTAGATGCGGACGTGGCTGCCCTGGCGCGCAATCTGCGGCGTTGCGCGGCTGTCAGCGACATGGAAGCGGCACGGCACGCCCTTCAGGCCTTTGTGGACCGCTCCCTGGTACGGCGGTTGCCAAACGCGCCGCTGCTGACAAGTGCCAGCTTACAGGCGCTGGCCGAGCAGCTAGACGGCAGCTGCGGGTTTGCAGCCTGCTCGGCGCTTGCCTTCCTGCTCGCCCTCCTGTGAGCTAAACGAGCGGCCGGCTCGCCGCCTGTTGTGTGAAATAGCACATCAGCTGCTGCTTGCCGGTGCAAAATGATCCTTACAAGTTTGAATTCTAATAACCGCAGCTGCTGCGTGAGCAACAGCTCCGCTGACCATGCCGTGCCCGCAAGCGGACAACGCCCTTGCTTGCTCGCGCCCTATTTTCCGCACCGCCAGGCACGAGCATCACATTGAGGATGGGCGTCGCCTTTATGAAGTGCGGTGGCAGCCAGCCCCCATGACCGCCCTCATGCGGCTGCTGATCGAGGCCACAGGGCCGCGCGGGGACGCCCGGGGCGGCGGCGGCGCCGGCGGCGGCTCTGAGCCGCTGTGGCTGGTGGCTGCGACGGAGAGGGACCGCGGGCAGGTGGCACTGGGGGCTGCCACGCTGGCCCATGGCGCAATGAAGCTGGTCAGCTTTCGCGCGATCGAAGCGAGCGACCGCGACGATGCAGACAGCAGGCTGCTGCGGCGCTCCGCGATCGCGCTCGCCGAGGCGTTCTGCGCCGCGCCCGGCGCCACGGCGGCCTTGATCGCCGCCGCCGCGAGCGAGGAGCTGCTGCGGCGGCCGGACGGCCCTGCCTTCGGGTTGTTTTGGCTGGTGAGCCGCATTGGGCAGACTGTGGCGCCACTGAGGGTCTCGGAAGAGCTGACGGCTTGCGTCGCCTCGCAGCTGGAGCCGTGCGCGGCTGAAGCCGCCGCCCTAGCCTGCCCGGCCCTACGGGCCGAGGCGGCCAGCGGTCGCAACGGCTGCATGAATCCCTTGGGGCTGCTGCTGCTA